ACTGCTGTTTTTATTTTGTTTAGTTAGATATTTTGCCCTCTTTGGTGTAGAACTTTGCATGTTTGATTAGGTGAAGATTATTGAATCGGAATAGCGAGGTGGATCAGGCTGTTGATTTAATAAAGATTCACGTAGATAAAGAGAAGTCGTTAATTTTGTGCAAGAGTGATTTGTCAGTCAAAATAAGGTTAAAGTTCCCACGTTTTGGCAGAAACAGTTGATTAAACAGTGACCTCTCTGGTAATCGTTATCAATTATTACTGAGTATTTAACGGTTGTAATTATCAAAGGAGTTAAGCCACAATTACAACACCAGAAGACATCTCTGGTTTCGATTCATAAATGAGGATTTTTGGTTAAGAAATGAATTTTCTCAAATTATGATTTTTAATTATAATTATTGATAAATATTAATTAATCAATAATCACAATCCCAACACATCCATCCATCCATCCATCCATCCATCCATCCATCCATCCATCCATCCATCCATCCATCCATCCATTGTGTCCAGAGACACACAGGACAAACAATCACGCACACACCCGTTCCACCTAAGAGCAACTGAAAGAGACTAATTAACCTAACAGTCATGTTTTTGGACTGTGGGAGGAAGCCGGAGTACCCAGAGAGAACCTATGCATGCATGGGGAGAACATGCACACTCGATGCAGAAAGGCCCAGTGCCGGGAGTCTAACCCAAGACATTCTCGCTGCAAGGCAACAGTGCTACCAACTGCACCAACGTGCAGCCCAAAATTTAAAACCATAGTGACACATTGAGAACTGGTATTCTTTACTAACATTTTGTTCAAACCTCCAAGTCAGATGTACTATGTCTGCTGCACTACAATTTGATCTATTACAGAAGTCATTACTAATTAACTTTAAGACTATACAACTAATTAGAAAGTCACTTTTTCTTTTCACTTTTTCCATTCCTTTCCCTCCTTCCCATATATATTTATACACATTAAAGTCATTTTTGGGTATAGCTATCTGTTATCATAACTTGACATTCAGCTCAACAACATTTTGCACAGGCAGAATCAATGTGTGGACTCTTAAATTTTAATTTAAAATGGCATGAAAGCAACAGGTGACATAACTATCGAATATCAGGATACAATGAAAATTTTGTATGTTTTTCACCGCTCCTGCTTCCACATTCTTTACAAAACTTCTCAAAAAAATATTTGTGGGTACAATTTTCTTGTTTTCAATAAAATACAATTTTGCTGATAGAAATGTCAGTCTGGCAAAAAAAAAGAAGACGATTAAAATTACCAGCAAGCAACACTAAAAAAACCCCCCAAAAAACAAATAAAATAACTAAAGAAAGAAAGACAATATTTTACCTTTCAACAACTTAAAAAAAAAAAATAATAAATCCAACTGATAAACAAAATTTCCCCTTGCGTTGACGAAATAAAAGGTTTATTGTGTAATATAATTTGACCATTTTTGTGGTTTTGCTCAGGGAAAATAGTCTCCAGTCAAGCTTGGAGTCAGCTGCAAGCATTAGAAAGCTTCTGCCAGGACTGAACCACTGTGAAATGTCAGATAAATAAAGATGTCCAGGCTGTAAAATTTTATATTCCATCTCAGGTGATGTGTAAATGGACAGTCTATCACCTGTGAAAGTACTGATACTGGATTCTGCTCAAGCCATATATAAGTGTCAGTGATGAAGGGCTGAGACTAAATTATATGGTGTTATTCAGAGATTGTCTTATTTTTGCCTAAGATAGAACATTTCACAACTCTGCTTACTTACATTTACATACCCTGATGTAGATTTTGTTAATACTATATATATACAGGGTTTGGACAATGAAACTGAAACACCTGTCATTTTAGTGTGGGAGGTTTCATGGCTAAATTGGACCAGCCTGGTAGCCAGTCTTCATTGATTGCACATTGCACCAGTAAGA